AAAGTGATGAGATATTTACTTCCAAGAAATTTCATAAGATACCATGCCCCAAAGTGTAGGGATATATATAGATATATGTAATAAAATTGATCATGTCATTTTTATTTCATTATAGTGACAACTACTTCTCTTCCATCTCCAATTTCCAATTTTATAATATAAAAGCAACTCAATAAATAGATAGGGAAACTATTATCTCAAAATACAAGTTTGTGCATATCCAGTTGGACCAGCTATGCACTTTCAAGCAAAAACAAGGAAAAACATACAAAAATAAAATTGGTATTAGTTGGAATCAATGACAGACTATTATTTTTACACAATTTAGCTGTAAGTAAGTCCATCCCAGGGTTTTATTTCATGAAAAACTGAAACAACTTCCAAAATCTTATACACAAACTATTTCATTCAATACAGATTTGTACAACTATCACAAACTATTATTTGTACACAGATTGGCTCTACAAAATTATTCATCTGTTATCACGTACATATTTTTTGTCATGCCATGGAATACATTTAAAAGGAAAAACAACAAAGTAATATACATTTGTTCCATTACTTGAAAATATAACCAAAGCACCAATAATACACACAACTTAGGCATACATCCACACAACTTAGAAGCTTAGATACATTAGCTACTACTGTTGCACAAGAAGTTACTGCTAATCTCCATAAATCATAAAAATTCTAATGCATAGAACCTAGTGGATGGATTAATACATAGAGCACAAATGCAATATGTTAATAGAAGTACTGCATCATCCCCGTCAAATATGTTCTCCTCCATACAACATCCATTAATGATTTATGAGATCAGCCTGCAAATTTTCATTTGTGATTGTATTACGAATTCCTAGTCTTACTCGGTACAAGATACGAACATGTTCAACCGATTGCGCAAGATCTGGATGGCTTTGATCTTCTTCAGTTGGAGGTGTCCACTCAGGTAAGTTTTGGCCACGTTCGTCTTCAATAATCATGTTGTGTAGGATGTGTAGCAAATCACATGTCTGTCTTATTCTTGCTGGGATTTGTAGGATGCGCTATTTCTGTTGAAGCACCCTGAACACTCTTTCATTATCTTTACGGCAAGCCTCTTGCAATGTTGTAAAAGCTCTTTCTTTCGTAGTCACAGGAGTTTTGACAGCTTGCATGAAAACAACATGTCTTGGATATATTCCATCAACCAAATAGTAAGGCAGATTATAACGCATCTCGTTGACCTCATATTCAACATGACGTGCAGTTCCATCCATGTATTTATCGAACAACGGAGAATGATCCAACACAATGACATTATTATTTGTCCCAGGCATGCCATATCCACAAATCCTGCGATGCGGCAACTTCTAAGATTAAAGATGGATAGCCATAACGACCATTGTATTGACCCCTCCACGCCACATGACAAACATCACAATGCCAATGCATAAAATCCAAAGACCCGATCATTCTCGGGAATCCAAGTTCATTATTCTCAGCTAATAAACATGCAAGGTCTTATGGAGTTGGATCACGTAGGTATTGTTGCTTGTAAAGAGAGATTATTGTGTGACAGAACTCCATGGTTGCTTATGTTGCAGACGTCCCCCCTATCCTTATAACCTCATCGACACTATCAAAATAACATCCATATACGAGAACACGAATGGCCACCATCACCTTCTGAAGAGGTGAAAGACCACGCCTATTCGTACAATCACTACGTTGTGTGAAATACTGATTTCTACTGCACACTTCGTTGAGAATTCTAGAGAATAGTTCACGACGCATCCGAAACCTCCTTCTGAAATAAGATTCTGGAAATCGAGGCGTGTCAGAAAAGTAATCACGCCACAACTCTTCATGCCTCCCTTCACGATCACGCGAAATGTAAGTTCTTCTCACCGTTGCGTTCTCCTCTTCAAATGTTGAGATAATAGGTAAGGAGGCATGCAACCATTGAATGCTACGCTGTTCAATTTGTAAATATTGTAGTCGCCTCAAACGCCTTTCTCTTGCGATGTTACGATCTTCTGCCCAGAAATAAGTCTCTTTATCGCAAATGTTAGCTTCTTCGTCATAACTATCCATGATAGAAAGTATGAGGAGTAAAAGATGTTATGAACTAATACTTACAATCATGGAGTAGGAAATATCATATTAATATATATGTAGAGCAAAAGAATCATTCACGAGTGTGAATTCGACTTATAGACATATAGACTTAGCTTTCTTTAGAATACTCATTTGATTTGATTGAATTCATATACAAGATGAAACATGATTGCACTAGGTTTGCAGTCCTATGAACACCATGTGACACAAGAGCACAAATTTTAAGTACAAACATTTTAAAAATATGGTGTCAACACTCATTCTAATCAAATGCCATGTTGATTGATGTCTAGAAATTTGCATTATTCAAATACATTCAAATAAAAATTGTAATTATCATCAACTCAATTCACACTCTAAACCGATCAATATCTACTTTGGCTAAAAAACAACATGCAAATACAAACCTTTTAAATTAAAAAACAAAAAATCCCAGTAAAAAAAGAAAGAAAAACAAATTGACAAGCCTAAAAACAATTACGGAAATTACAATTTTGTGCAGAAAACACACTGTCGATCTTAAGCTCATGTAGGTTTTGGATTGTCAATTTTTCGACTATAATTCCCAATTTCAAGTGTTTTCTATTCAAAAGATTGATTCTTCATACTTGTGAGCCGAAGAAAAGGTTTCGAATTGGTTTGGGCAGAGAATGTCTGGAAAGAAAGTCTAAAAAAAATTGATTTTGTCTATTGTCGTACATAATGGAAAAGTCAATCTTTTGCTTACTGTGGTTAAATTTTACAAAAATTAAATAGAGGGTATAAATGATCAGGACACGTCAGCTTCGGGCTTCTGACTGGAGACTTTTATCGGGTTGATTACTGTATTGGCTCTAAGTGGAGTTCCCCTTTTCAGTTGGTCAAGTAAATTAGATTTGACATAACAAATTACTCTCTTTTATTGTGTCCATTTTTTAATTTTTGTTGTTCTACCTATTTTTTTATTTTTTTAAAAAAAATAAAAAAATTATAAAATTTTTATTTTACTTTAATTTTTTTTTAATTTATATATTTTTAAATTTTAATTAGACTAATTAGTTATTTTAATTTTAATCTATAATTATTTTTATTATACGATAATTATTTTCATTAATACAATTTAAAATATTTACTAATTCTACAATTTCTAAATTCTCGCGTTTACCGTAAAGAGGCACCGTAGCCGAGACAGAGGGAGTATTAGGTAAATCATATATGGCGAGTAAGATTTGGAGGCGTAAGGTCACGAGTTAAATCATCCCCTACTAGATATTTTCTCCGTCTCAATTCAAAGTATTTTTTTTTTATTATTTTCGTCAGTCTCATTCAAAAGTATATATTTCTTATTTTTAGTAAAAATAATCACACACCAATACTAAAATACTATTAACTTTTATTTAAATGACAAATATATTACATGTACAATTATTTTTTACATAAAGTCGAAAGAAGAAAACATCAATATATTTTACACATTTTCACTAACCAATAAGATACTACTCCCTTCGTCCTACTTAATTTGTCAACTCTTTCTCTTTTCGTTCGTTCCACATAATTTGTCATTTCTTTTTTTTTTTAAATATAATTATACACTTTAATCACATTTTAAAATTCATAATTCATATTTTTTTAATTTTAATTAAACTAATTAATTATCTTAATCTTAATCTATAATTATTTTTATTAAATTATAATTATTTCTACTAATACACTTCTTAATTACTTACTAATTACACAATACCTAAATTTATATGTCTAAACTAAATGAGACAAATTAGCTAAGACGGAAATAGTATTATTTTTAATGTACTATAAAACTCCAGAGAACCCCATTTAAATGAGATGGAGGGAGTATATATTTATATTATTTTCATTTTTATGAATTAAATATAGTATTTTAAATAGAATTTTATCACTATTTAACTTTGCAAAAATATTAAATCAAATCATTTTTTTCTTCATAAAATATCAAATTAATTTATAATTTTTTACTATTTTTAAAATTTCAAAACCTCAAAATTATTTCATCTAAATGGAGCCCGTGACTTTGTGATTTTCTTAAATTTTTATATAAATAATAGTTTAAGTTGATTTTGTATGAAATGAAATACTAATAGAGTTTCATAAAAAATATAAGAATTTTATAACAAATAAAATTTAAAAAAAATATAAAAATAATGAGAATCTTAATATGTAATTTCTTAGGAAATTAAATTTTTCAGTAAATGGATACTTTTCACGAAAAGAAAGATCGAAAATAAAGTCTAAATAAATATCTAAATACACTACTCTTGACAAACCGTCCTTATACTTATCTCTTTCCTCTGGCTAAATGATTTGAACAATCTCATTCAAATAACGTTTGAAAAAGTATCTTTGGCTAGTAGAGTTTCTTATATCGTTCAAATATATATATATATGTTGATGTAATTTTTCAACAAAAATAAAGTAAAATTCAAAGATATAGAAAATATCTTTAAACTTGATTAATTAGTGCCTGAGATTAGGAATCTCTAAACACTGTATGGTACAGAAAATAAACTGGAAAATAAAAGACTGAAATTTAAAGTGGTGATCCCCAAATCTGACTTTGCTTTGTTGAAGTTGATTGAAGATGCCTTGCCAAATGATGATCCAAATCCTTAAATATTCTCTAGGAAACTGTACTGAAAACCGTCGCCCGAACGGTTACAACGTCTCCTTCCCAACCGTCTTCCAATCCTTCTCCTGCTGACACGTGTCCTCAGCAGACCAAAATTATCCCTATATTTCACTCTTTGAGCCGACCACAGACCTTCCGCCCTTTTGGCCCGACTTCGTCCTTCGCCCGACCTGCTTCTTCGCCCGACCTCACTTGGGCCGACCTCCGCATCAGCCGCCCTCCGTCTTTGACCGAAGACCTCCGCGTCTGTCCGAACCTCTTCCTTGCCCGACCTTCCTCTTGACAGACCTCCGCGTCTGCCCGACTTCGCCTTCCATCCGATCTACGGTTTACCCAACTTGGGTACACCTTTTTCTTTTAGACTCCGCCCGACCTGAATACAGCCCGAACTGCTGATCACGGACAACCATCTCTTGGTAGTACCTGAGTCTGGATTTGGATCAATTCTTGAGATCTTAACTTTCTTCCTTTTCCCGACCTGAGGGCCTCCCGACCTGCGGACTTCCCATCCTGATGGCTTTCCGTCTTGAGGACCTACCGACCTGAAGACCTTCCGCCCTTTAGTCTTCCCGTCCTGAGGACTTCCCGACCTGAGGGCCTCCCGACCTGCGGACTTCCCGTCCTGATGACTTTCCGTCTTGAGGACCTCCCGACCTAAAAACCTTCCGACCTGAGGTCTTTCCGTCCTGGGGACTTTCCGTCTTGAGGGCCTTCCGACCTGAAGACCTTCCGCCCTTTAGTCTTTCCGTCCTGAGGACTTTCCGTCTTATATTTTTCCTTAGAAATAAACCTATTTTCCTTGATTTCCCCACGGTATCCTTCAGCCAGTTCAATCAACTCTATTGCCAGGCCCATTCTTCTTTTTACCTTGGGCTTTTAACCTAATTCTAAATTTCGTACGTAACAACTTGCCCGCCGCCAAGGGACTTTCAAACGCCATTTAACAATCAATGTTTGGAAGTTCATAAATCACCACCCTCTTGAAAAATTCCCTTAGCAACTGCACCAGTTACTGCAACACTCCTGATTAACTTCCTTCTCCGCAATACGAGCTTTTGTGAATCACAATCCCAAAACACTCTAACCATGGCGAATCGATACATTCCTGCCCTTCCTTTCGACGGAACCCTCCCAGAGGGCCCGTTTTCAGCCTCGAAAGTACTAACTCCGACGATCCGCCCATATTGCACTACTCCTGAAGACTCAAATCGGATGAGGGAAGTTTTGGAATCTCGAAATTCCTTGGCTATCAACAACCCTAACTACCAAGCAGTTCGCATTCGAGACAGCATCAAAACCCATCTCACAGACCCAAAAGATCCTTACCGCTCTTGGTATCGACGGGTAGCGGAACACTTCCAGACCCAATGGCGATCTCAAAAAATCGACCAAGCAATACTATTGTCCACCATGCCGATCAATCTGCACGAGAAGGTGCTCCTAGCCATGTCTGCCTTCTGGAATGCGGAAAATGGGACTTTTCTCTTACCATCGGGCCCCTTTGGTCCAACTCTTATGGATGTGGCAATGATCGCGCATCTCCCAGTCGTGGGTGAAGACCCTGTGATGGGAGCCCTAGATGGGCAGGAGCCATCAGAAGACCATCCAGGGTGGTCTTTACAAGGTGTGAAGGAATGGGGCTGGACAAAGTTCGCAACCGATCAGCAAGGGGCTCCAGGGACCCCCGTGACCGACCGGGAGCATACTGCCTTTATCCTTTTTTGGCTTTGTAGGTACGTCATTGTTTCCCCTTCTAAATGCGTTCTTCCTTCTCATCTCGACCTAGCCATTCATATCGCGTCTGGTCGGTTCTTTTCCCTTGGCACTCTGTTTTTAGCCAATCTGTTTGAAGGACTTACTAGAGTTAGCCTTCGTTTAACAGATAATGATAATAGAAAATTAGACACTGCCGCATCGGGTCCTTTTTGGTTTTTAGAACTTTGGTTCCGTCTTTACTTCCCCAACGCGTTCAACTTAGGATCTCCGCCCACTATGCCAATATCCGAAAAACATTTGGGATTAGCCCTCAACCGACTCTGCTCAGGACGCAGTAAACTCCAATCCTCCGATCCAATAATAACCACAATTGTAACGGATACCCGTAGTAACTCTCGATTTTCTATGTATAAAAAATATGCGGGTTATGCTCCCGACCATTTTTGGCCCTTTCCGGCACCAAATCCTCTTCCGACTCCTGAGCCTTGTCCTCATCCCACCTATCCTTTTGCCTGGGACGTTGCCCTCAAACCCAGGTCTCTTTTTAGCAGCAAAAAACTTGATAAAAAAGGGCAGAAAACTTTTTGCACCTTTAATTATGAACCTCAATTCATGGCGCGCCAGTTCGGCTGTTGCCAAGGTATCCCTGGACCCGTCGCTTGTCCGCATATAATTTTTCAAAGTCCTGACCGACGAGTCCTACCTAATTCAATCCCTTCTTATATCTCCCAGCTCACCACGTATATAATTTCCAATTCTTATATTCCTTTCCGCTCCAACCCTGAGACTGTAGATACATTCAATGAATGGTGGTCGGTTGTATGGCCCCTGATTTCCCCTAATGAGGATCGGTTGCTGAACATACTCCTTCCCCCCCAAGGATTAGTTCTAGGGGCGGCTAGACATACTAGCACTCAACAACAAACAGCCGCCCCGGGAATCGGATCTAGTGTTCCAATGCGAAAAAGGAAAGCTTCCCAGCTGCAAACACCCCCGACCTCTGGGGCCGACCAGCAAGCTCCAGCGGACCTTGGAACTACTAAGACATCAGCAAGGACCCGACCCCGAATAGGTAATTTTTCTTAAAACCGTGAACCAATTCACTATATCTTAACTTTGATTTCACTCATTTCATTCACCAGAACCGACCTTGGTAACACCGACCACACAAACGACGCCACCCCCAGCCGACCATTCAAACGTACCTTTGGTCCAGACTGAGACATTTCCTCTCCAAACCCCTACTCCACTTCTCACTTTGCCAATGAGCAGTCGGGCGGAGGACCCGACGAGGAGGCAAACTCTTCCTCCCGTACCGAGGAGTGGTCGGGCCAGGCACCCGACCAGGAGGCAATCTTTACCAGCAGTGCCTATAGAACCAGTAAGTTCTCTCATCAGCAATACTTAGGATTCTAATGATCAACCTTGATATATTTAACAACAACATTTCCATGATTTTTCACAGACACCTTCACCCATCGCATCAGCAGCAGGGGTCTCTTCAGACAGCGAGGGAACTACTTCCCAGATGGGTCGACCGCCATACATGGCATCAAACTCATCCATTTCGAAGGAAGAACCAGCTGCCCTTACCGAAGCTGACCCTCAAGACGACATCCCTGCTGCTGCTGATCCCGAAATAGTCCAATCGGATGCAGCCGCACTGGAAACCGAAAATGCCACAGCTGCGGCTATCCCAGTTGCTCCTGAGATACCAGCTGCAGTGGCTTTAGACGCAGCTGCCCAACCTGCAGCCGCCCAGCCAGCAGTGGCGCTCCCTCCAGCAATCGAGTGGCAGGCAGAAGAACCACCTGTGGCAGCCCAACCTCCAGAAATAGAAGAAGTGTCTTCGTCCGATTCGGAGACTTCTGTGAATTTGGTAAGATTAAACCAATCCATGCCACAATGTTTCTTTCTAAAAAAAAAAAACACTAACTGTTTTATATACTACTTTTCATAGGGACCCAGGTCGGCACCTCAGCGACCATTCGCAGCAGCCGACGAGTCGGCTGCTGTTATACCAGCTGTCCGCCCTACTCGACCGACCTCATTATTGCTCCCCTCACTGACAGCAATTCGCCCAGAGGTGACACATATCTTATCTGAATAATTTGCACCTCCCTTGGAATACTTATTGAAACTGTAAGACTTGCAGGGGCCTTCGGACTTAGCTATCCTATCGACTGTTCCAGTTCCAGCGGAGGCCCAAACTATTTTCACTGAGGCCATTAACCATCCCCTGTCAGAATTAAGATCCGACTTATTGGACAAACTCATTCAGACGGTTGGTGGCCTTCTTTTTTACACTCCGACGGAATCGCCAGCCGTCCCCATTCTGCATCGGCTGATGGAAAGACTTACAGAGCTCAAGACTGAAGTGTTAGTTATTGGACTCCTGTCAGCCGAAACCCCCCAGCCTGTCTTCGATCAAACAACGCTGGAGAATTCTTTGGCTAAGACCCGAGAATCCCTTCAGCAGACTACTGGAAGGCTGGGCGGTCTCCTTAGCACGAAGGCTCAAGTTGATGAATCCATTCAGAAAAAGGAGGCAGAATTGCGGGAGCTAAGGAAAGAACAGTCTATCCTGGATAAGTAAATTACCAATGAGCAGCGTCTGCTTGAGAAATATACAAAAAACGAGGCCGAATTGGATCAAGAGCTGAAAACCCAAGCTCGATCCCAATTCATCAGAAGATATCAGACGGCTGCTAATACCAGAAGGCTATCCAGGGATGAAGTCAAATGGACACATATAAAAACTGCCCTAGGGGCACTTTTGTAATACTTCCCCCTTTGTAACAACATTTGACTTAGTAATATATTTTTCCTTCTTCTCTCAAAACAAGGATCACCTTTCAATTTCCAACTTTGTAGGAACCGAAACAAACTCCTTCTTTAAAAGAACACTGTTCTTCACATTTTAAGAAACACATTCCAAGGCATATTTTGAAAATCAAACACTTGAAGTGTTAACAAACATGGCGAATGACCGACCTCATGTTCCATCAAGCAACTGGGAAGGTGTTCTTCAACCCTTCTTTGTAGGTAATCACCCTATTGGAGGCCATGCAGAAGACTTGTTACATATACTCAAGCAACTAGACTTCAAATTCCGATTCTCCCAACGAGGTAGAAGAACCATTCATCGCGTCATCCGCCTAATGGAAAAAATCATTGAGGGGTATGAACCTCTTCGTGACATCCTTAGCCGCATTCCTGACCTCCATCATCACATGGAAATGATTGAAAATCATGCAGCAACCATACTTCCAGATCTTGGTTGGGATAATATATTTTCCAATCAACGAAAAGTCTTTTCAAGATTGCGTACCATTGTTGACCGTGAATATCAAGCCATAACAGACATGCAAGCACGTACCAATCAAGATTTAGACGAAATGCAAAGCCAATGGGAGAGGTACCGACCAGATTTGGAAGATCTTATTGAAGAAGAACCAGAACTAATATCCACTCACTGGGATGAAAATTCTGATTCAGAGGCAGAAAATTTCTCACAAATACATGATGACTAACAGAAATGAACCTTTAAATAGGTTCGAACCCCACAAATGGGTTCTGAAAAATATTTTGCTTCAGGCAGTTTTGTTATCTGAAAAGGCAGGATAATACCTCTTCAGATATTTAGCATTAATACAATCATGTACTCTCTTACCTTCATGATTTACAATAATGAAAGCGCCATTCCCAATATCTTTTTGAATAATGTATGGTCCCTCCCAATTCGGTGACCACTTTCCCAATTGGTCAGTTTTCTTATATGTAGGAAGAATGGTCTTCCAGACTAGGTCTCCTTTTTGGAATGTCCTGTGAAGAACTTTCTTTCCGTAATTCCTTGCTCTGATTTCACTCTGTTTCACACTTCGACTTATTGCATGAAGTCGGCTAACATCCAAATCCTCCAACTGTTGCAACATAAGTTGTTGGTATTCTTTTGTAAGATCACCATCAGTAAATTCTGTTCGGCCAGATGATACTCGGATTTCGGCTGGTAAAACAGCATCTTGGCCAAAAGTGAGTTGGTACGGTGAGAACCCTGTGGCCGTATTTCTGGTAT